AAAATCCCACCAAGATACTTCATGAATACTGACAAACTGATTCTCATGCCAAAAGATCAGCCTCTGTGCACTGATGCCAAATTGAACCTTGGAGACAGTTTTAGGTAAAGTAGGAAAAATAGTTTAATTGCTTTGCAGGCAAAGGGAGAGAGAGTAGGCTTTAAACCCCAAAAAACTGTGTGTCCCAACTTGGGAGGATTTGGTGAGGAGTTTCATAGCAATAATTCAAGTTCTTGGTTGCTAACGAGATTAGCTTCAACAGTACATGAAGCAGGAACTTCCAGGCTTCAACAATACGCAAACCGTGAACTTCCAGATGTTCAAGCTTCATTTAGAAAAGACAGAGGAACCAGAGATCAAATTGCCAACCTCTGCTAGACCATCAAAAAAGCAAGAGAGTTCCAGAAAAACATCTACTTCTGCTTTATTGACTATGCCAAAGCTTCTGACTGTGTGGATCACAACAAACTGTGGAAAATTCTTCAAGAGACAGAAATTCCAGACCACTGGACCTGCCTCTTGAGAAATCTGTATGCAGGTCAGGAAACAATGGTTAGAACTGGACATGGAACAACAGACTGGTTCCAAATCAGGAAAGGAGTACATCAAGGCTGTATATTGTCACCCTGCTTATTTAACTTATATGCAGAGTACATCATGAGAAATGCTGGACTGGATGAAGCACAAGCTAGAATCAAGATTGCTGGGAGAAATATCAATAACCTCAGATAATGCAGATGACACCACCCTTATGGCAGAAATCAAAGAAGAGCTAGAATCTCTTGATGAAAGTGGAAGAGGAGAGTGAAGAAGTTGGCTTAAAGCTCAACACATTCAGAAAACTAAGATCATGGCACCTGGTCCCGTCACTTCATGGCAAATAGATGGGGAAACAGTGAGAGACTTTATTTTTGGGGGGTCCAAAATCACTGTAGATGGTGACTGCAACCATGAAATTAAAAAACGCTTGCTTCTTGGAAGAAAAGCTATGACCAACCTACACAGCATATTAAAAAGCAGAGACATTGCTTTGCCAACAAAGGTCCATCTAGTCAAAGCTATGGTTTTTCCAGTAGTCATGTATGGATGTAAGAGTGGACTATGAGGAAAGCTGAGTGCCGAAGAATTGATGCTTTTGAACTGCGGTGTTGGAGAAGACTCTTAAGGGTCCCTTGGACAGCAAGGAGATCCAACTAGTCCATCCTCAAGGAAATCAGTCCTGAACATTCACTGGAAGGACTCATGCTGAAACTGAAACTTCAATACTTTGGCCATCTGATGCAAAGAACTGACTCATTTGAAAAGATTCTGATACTGCGAAAGATTGAAGGTGGGAGAAGAAGGTGACGACAGAGGATGAGATGGTTGGATGGCATCACTGAATTGATGGACATCAATTTGAGGAAGCTCTGGGAGCTGGTGAAGGACATGGAGGCCTGATGTGCTGCAGTCCATGGGGTCACAAAGAGTCAGACACGACTGAGCAACTGAACTGAACTGAACAAGATTAGAATGTGTGCAGGGTCTATATGCTTTAAATCTTGTCTCAAGTGGTCTCTTAATTTTGATGAGCTTCCTGGTTCCTCTAATCTTGCCTCAGATGGTTTCTTGACTTCTCCTCCCTAGTCTCTGCATCTCCTCCCTTTCTCAATTAGCAACTGTTCAAATTTTCCTTTGAAACTCAGGGAAGGTCATGGAGACTGGAGTCTGTTCCTTATAAACAAGAAATGGAGGGGACAGAAAGGCTTCCATGCCCAGCACCCCACAGGGTCCTGCTCAGTTTAATTTTAAGTTTATATGGAAAAATGAAAGACCCAGAATAGCAAAGACAATGCTGAAAAACAAATTCAGAGGACTGACACTACATGACTTCAAGACTTAAAACAGGTGTGATACTGATAAAGGAATAGACAGTGTATCAGTGAAAAAGAATAGAGAGACCAAAAATGGGCCAACACAATACAGTCAGCTGATCTCTTGACAAAGGAACAAAGATAACCCAATGGAGAAAGGATGGTCTTTTCAACAGTGATACAGTAACATCTACATCCAAAGAGATGACAAGACACTGAACTAACATACTTCACAAAAATTAACTCAAAATGGGACACAGACCTAAATGTAAAGTACAAAACTATAAAACTTCTAGAAGACAAGACAGGAGAAAATCTAGGTGACTCTGGGTTCAGTAATAAATTTTTAGATAGAACAACAAAAACAGAATCCATTTATTAATACTAAAAGCGTCATGTTCTATGAAAGACTCCATTAACAGGATGAAAAAACAAGCCACAGGCTGGGAGAATATATTTGCAAACACACATCAGATGAAGGTCTTGTATATGAAATACCCAAGGACCTTATGCTACCATACCACCGCCCTCACGGGTTGCATGCACACGCCCAGGAAGGGCCTGTCCCAATTGGGTTCGGCCCTACTGCCAGAGCGCCCCCAACCTGGCTGAAGCTGACAGCTGATGACGTGAAGGAGCAGATCTATAAACTGGCCAACTTGAAGAGCCTGACTTCCTCACAAATCTGTGTGATCTGAGAGATTCACATGGTGCTACACAAGTATGCTTTGTGAAGGCAATAAAATCTTGAGAATTCTTAAGTCCAAAGGACTTGCTCCTGATCTTCCCGAGGATCTCTATCATTTAATTAAGAAAGCTGCTACTGTTCGAAAGCATCTTGAGAGGAACAGAAAGGATAAAGATGCTAAATTCCATCTGACTCTGACTGATAGCCATATTCACATTATAATACCAAAGGAGTCCTCCCCACTAATTGGAAATATGAGTCATGCACAGCCTCTGCCCTGGTGGCATAAATTTGTCTATTGTACTCAAGCCATAAAACCATTGTTTAACAGGAAAACAAAACAAAACAAAACAAAACCAAAGAACTCTTAAAACTCAACCATAAGAAAACAAACAACAGGCAAAATACGTGAAGAGATATTAATATCTCACCAAATGAACTATGTAAATGGAAAATAAGCATGTGAAATGATGGCAACATGTATCATGAGGGAAACACAAATTCAAACAACAATGAGATACTACTACCTATCTATTGGAATGGCTAACATTCAAAACACCAATTGCTAGCAAGGATGTGGAACAAGAGGAACTCTTATCAACTTTTGGTGGGAATGTAAAATGGTACGATCACTTTGGAAGCTAGTTTAACAGTTTCTTGCAAGCTAAACACAGTCTGTCCATACAATCCAGCAATTGTGTTCCTAAGAATTTATCCAAATGAGAAGAAAGTATGTCCATACAAAAACATGTACACAAACGTTTACAGCAGTTTTATTCATAATTTCCCAAACTTAGAAACCACCAATATGTCCTTCAGTAAGTAAACAGATACACAAACTGTGGTGCATACATACAATGAATTTAGTTCAGAAATAGAAAGGAATGAGCTGTCAAGTCACAAAAAGACATTAAATGTATACTGTTAAGTGGAAGAAGCCAGTCTATAAATACCACATGCCATGTGATTACAACTATATGACATTCTGGAAAAGGCAACACTATGGAGTCAGAAATAAAAATCAATAGTTACTAAAGGCTCAGCAGAGGACATAAGGTGTGTTGAAGGGATGAGTAAGTGCAGCATAGAAGATTTTTAAGGCAAAGTATTCTGTATGATATTGTAATGTAATACATGTAATGTAATACATGACTTTATGCTTTCATCAAAACTCATAGACTTGTACAATACAAAAAGTGTACCCTAACATAAACTATGGACTTTGGTTAAAAGCAATGCAACAATATTGGTTCAACTGTAATTAATGCACTAGTATTGCAAGATGTTAATAATAAGAGAATCTATAGCATCTGTGGCTGGGGGTGGTGGTATATGAGAACTCTGTCCTTTTTGCTCAATTTAACATAAAACAACCACTTTAAAAAGTAAAGTCAAGCTACATTCCCCTCAACTGGACTTGAGCAAGTCTGTCACTGAAGGGTGATCTGGGAAGTCATCTCCACTTTTTCAATACAGAGGCATTGTCTTTGAGGGCCCCTTAGAGCTAGTAAGAAAGCTATAAATGCCTACTTGCATAAACTGTGTTATGAAGGACATTCAAGAAACTTAGATGTTCCCTCTGGATGTGGGAATAGGAACATCAGAGTAAGAAACTGTTTTACTGGTTATTCATTTCTGCAGGTTATTTTTTTAATCATGCATTTTTATCTCTTAAAAAAAAAATACTGTCAAAAGTAAAATGAAAAATAAGTTTGCAACCTTCCACTCCTGGTATCTGCTTTGATGTCCTAGGAGTAATCCCCTTTTAATAGTTTTGACATATACCCTTTCATATATTTATACTTTTCTCTGTAGGTTTTTCTAGTCCAACCATGTATCTATGTCTACATATGAAATTATGGAATAAACTACTTAAAATTACCTAGACACACCAAAATAAAAGTCAATTAATATAAATAAATAAGAACAAAGAGAGAAATGAAAAACATTCTCATCTGCAAAAAAAAAGAACTGAAAACAAACATTCTTCTGAGGACAGTGTTCAGTCATGAAGCCTCTATCCAGGAAGATGTACAAAAGTACACACTCATAAAATTTGGAATGCGATTTCATAAGGTTCACAGTATCCTGTAGCCCACTCATGATCTCTCTACACCCAGGTTTATAACCTCTAAGTTAAGGAGAATGAAATATGAATTTATCTTATTATTTTCCAAATTTTAAAATTTATAATTGACAAAATATTTACAACTTAAAATTATTGACTTCTTTTAGCTTTAAGCAAAGTAATTAACTCCATATTAATTAATCTATATTTCCTTCAAACTAATAATGCTACTTTGTCATCTATAATTTATGCCACCACTTAGATTATCAAACTGATCCAATAAAATTTTAAAACAATTGCTACTTTTTTTTTTTTACTCTGGATTAATTATTCACTATTAAGTCATTTCTAATTCACTAAATAAATTTTACAGGCAGAAAAAAAATCTTACCTGCAAAATGGGAAAAGTAGCAGTGGTGATGCCCATTTTGTGTAAATTTAAGAGCATTTCACTTCCACTCCATACTTTACAAGATGATTCATAATCCCTTTCCACAAGATGTTCAGAGCTTGCTTCTAACCAACTGGAATAAAATAAAACAATTCCATCAACCAGCATCATCCTTATGTGCACTACTATTTTGACAGAACAAACAGAAATGTGATACATTGATCTGTAGTCCCTGATGCTCTTAGCACATAAATGTAGATTAAGACATATTTTAAATAGCATGTATGCTTCATATTACAAAGTAATCATACAGCTAAAAAGCAAGCTTTTATTCAGAAAAGAGAAAGATGTATGTGATCCCCAATTTGTGTTTTGTGAATTTACACTGCTTAACTTCTCTGTCTCTCCAACTGACAAATTTGGTCTGCACATAAAAATACAAGAAAGCTAATAAGGAAATTAAAGTGTTAAATATTAACATTAAAATAGAATTACTAGAAAATAAATAATATATTCACTTATAAACATACAGACAGACATTTGTACATTCAGTGAGTATTTAAATGTATTATGCCAGACACTACACTGGGTAGTGGAAATACAGCAGTAAATAAAATAGGTAAGGTCCTTATTCTTATGGAAATGAGATTCTACTAAAGAGAGGTAGAAATAAACTTAGAAACAAATCCAGTAACATGAAAACATTAGGTAATGATAGTAATATTATGAAAATAAATTGGATTAATGCAATCTAATTGCTACTTTCATTTGGAGTGTCAAGAAAGCTCTCCTAGAGGTGACATTTATTCTAACAACTGAATGCAGAAAGCACTCAGTCATGTGAGAATCAGGGAAAAAAATCAAATAAACTGAGTACTCCAAGCAGAAGGAATATCTGGGGGTGATTAACAAATTTTGCTTACTTAAAACCCTCAAAGTCAATGTAATTGCAACACAACAGGCAGAAAGAATAATAGTATGAGCAATGTTAGTGTGATAGGCAGGAATCAGATCATATTGGGCCAGGATAAGAAGTCTGAATTCTATTCAGAGTGTAATGGGAAGATTTTAAATGGAGGATTTTAAGTAAGAGAGATAATCTAGTTTAAGCATTTAAAAGATGATTCCAGTTTATAAGGCAGAATGCATTATAGGAGAAAGGCAAAAATGAAAGAAGACTTATTAGGAGACTGCCCTTGTGGTTCAGCTGGTACAGAATCTGCCTGCAATGCAGGAGACCTGGGTTTGATCCCTGGGTCAGGAAGATCCCCTGGAGAAGAGAAAGGCTACCCACTCCAGTATTCTGGCCTGGAGAATTCCATGGACTGTATAGTCCACGGCGTCGCAAAGAGTTGGACACGACTGCGTGACTTTCACTTCACTTCAGCAATGTTCTAGGGGCTTCCCGGTGGCGCTAGTAGTTAAGAACCCACTGCAAATGCAGGAGACATAAGAGACACAGGTTTGATCCCTGGGTCAGGAAGACACCCTGAAGAAGGAAATGACTACCCACTCCAGTATCCTTTCCTGGAGAATCCCATGGACAGAGGAGCCTGGCAGGGTATGGTCCGTAGAGTTGGAACAATTGAAGTGACTCAGCACACGCACACATAGTCTTCTAGTTGAGAGATGATTCTGGGATGAAAGATATGAGACTGAAGGATTTGGGATATACTGTGTAGGTGGCATTTTTAAAACTTACTGATGAATTGGATGAAGCGAGACAGTCATCAAGAATAATACTTAGATTTTTGATTTGAGGAACTGGTTGGTGGTACCTGCTTAGATAAGAAAGACAGAGCAGGCAGGGGAAGTAGGGAAGAGGAGTATTTTGGAAAGTTGAAATTTTACATCCAAACAGAGAAAGTATAGTTGAGTAGATAAACACAGCATTCCAGGGAGAGATTGGGACAAACACAGATTCAGGTCTCATCAGCACTGTTTTTTTTAGTTATGTAATTTAAGGAAAATGCAGAACTAGAAAAGAAATGAGTATCCAAGACCAAGCCCTGACACACTTCAATATTTAAACATCAAACAAATTAAGAACTATCAAAAGAAACAGAGAAAGAACTGACTGTGAGGAGGAAGAAAACCAGGAGATGTCAAAGAAGCTGTCTAAAGAAAACACACTCCTGTGTGTCTGCTTGTTCTCACTGCTTCACTTCTGATACCTCTGGTCTCCACATGTATGTCAGTTTTTTCCCCACACAAGCAATTCTCTAAGACATCAGACGGGTGTCCTATAATTCAATTCAGTTTTGACACTAACTGAGTTTGCAGAGACTCCACAGATTAAGTACTCAGTCTCATTAGACTGTCTCTCCTCCCTCCCCAGCCTCAGACACCAGTTGTAAACGTCCAGGTTCTCATCTGTGCTTCTGACCAAATACTGTAAGTCAGAGCTTCCCATGACCCCCTCCTCAGGTTGGGCATTTACTAGAACAGCTCACAGAAATCAGGGAAACACATTTACTGGTTTATTATATAATAAAGGATATAGATAAAAAGTCAGATGAAGCAATATATAGGGTGAAGTCAGGAAGGTTGCCGGGCACAGAAACTTCTGTCCCTTTGGAAGTGAAATACACCACACTCCAAGTATATATATGTGTTCATCAATGTAGAATCTCTCTGAAGCCTGTATTTTTGGTATTTTTATGAAGACTTCATTACAAAGGCATGATGGAACATTAACTCAATATCCAGCCCCTCTCCTCTTTCCAGGGGGAGGTGGAGCTCAAAGTTCCAACCTTCTAAATGTGGCTTGGCTTTTCTAGTGACTGGATCCATTCAGGAGCCCTTCAACCACCACCTCATTAGAATAAAAGACAGTCCTATCACCCAGGAAATCCCAGGGGATTTAGGAGTTCTGTCAGGAACTAGGGTCAAAAATGAAACAACAAAACCGAAGATGCTCTTAGTGTTCTTATCACTTAGGAAACTATGAAGGTTTTACGAACTCTGTGCCAGAAACAGGGGACAGAGACCAATAAATATATATACACACACACACACACATATATATATTTCTATTATTCCACAAAAGACAAAAACACTTTTCATAAAGGTGGTATTCAACAGCAACCTACACTGCTGAGAGGCTAAGTAAAATAACAGAAATAGCTTTTGCATTGGGCCATCTGTGGACCACTGGTGACCTTGATAAGAACAATCTCAGTAGAATTATGCATACAGAATCACTATTAGGATGGATGAAGAAAGAATTGGAAGTGAGAAGATAGAATCAGCAACTACAGACAACTCTTTCAACAACTATGCTGTGAAACAGAAATGACAAACTTCTACATGGCAAAAACACCTCAAGGAAAGACTTAATCAAGAGGAAAGTTTGGGCTTTATGTTTAACTGGCAAGGAACAATCCATTTCCCAAGTAGTCTGGTCCAAGTTTACTGATTTTAAAATACTTGGCATAACAGAACATGTTTCGAATACAAAGGCAGCACGGATGACACTGACAGACAAATGCTCTTACTTAATGAGGCTGCAGCACACAGCTCGTAGGGGTTCATGATCTTTCTTCCTTATATTATAGTTAATCATACTATCTAGTTCATCCCGAGCAAACCGAAGCTGAACTTCCGTTACACTGTAACTTGCTGACTCCCGAGCACAGTCCTCAATGTTATGAGCTTCATCTAAAATGACAACCTGTTCTTTCAGATTGATCTCCATCTATAAGATAAAAGAGGTTTCTTGTAAAACATTCAGCAAAATGGATTTAACAGCATTAGTCAGGTCACTTCATTCAAAAATTCACACCACAGGCCAATATCACAAGTCCAACTACAGAAGTAACTGATTCTCAGTCTTAAAACTTTTAAAGCACTTAGGCCAAGCAAATATCTATAGAGTTTCCCATTTTTCACCCTCAAAATACTTGTAAACCTATCAACCAAAATAATACATGTTAAGTGACCCAGGATCAAGGTATAGCTGGTTACACAAAGGATTGTTAAGGATCTTCAACATAACTTAAAAAGCAGAATTTTTAAAAATCTGATTTAAAAAAATTTTTTTAAATTTTTTTTTAAATAACAGCACAAGATTCAAAAGACTCTCAAAATACTAATATAATGTATTATGTATCTGTTTCATTTCAGTCTTTTCTGCAATCCTTTAGAGAACTACTCTTCCCCAACACCCATGTGATGCTGGCAGGACTGTTAATCTGTTAATCAAGGTACCACTCTCATAATGTGGGTAGACTCAGAACCCAGGCCCATCAGTTAAATAAAGTATTCCATTCCTGTCTAGTCACACTAGTTCAAGAATGGGTATGAGATCCAATCTAGGACAGCCAGAGTAATTATAGGTGACTATCTTTTTTTCCAGCTTACCTAGCTGGAAAAAAAAGCTAGCTGACTATAGTTATCACTGTTTCCACTGAGAAGAACTTGCCTGATTATAAAGCCACCACAATAGTCAAGTATTTTTTTCATAAGTTTTACCAAAGCTGGGTTTGTGTCAATGGCAACTGAAAGAGTTCTAATACAGAATGAAACAAAGCAATTGTCACTGAGTTATTCTGAGGAATAATAATATACAGAGGGCTGAAGATGGCTGAGGAAAAAAAAAAAATGAAAGAGTGAGAAATATACTGGGGTTTAGATGAGTGGGATTTGGATTTGGATAGAGAGAGAGTAGGGCAATTCAATAACACAGAGGTGTAATCAAAAGCAGAGATACAGGAAAGAACAAGGTATCCTCAGGAGATCTTGAGGTAATTTTTCAAGTGCTCAAGTTGGAAGTCTGTAGCAGAAAAGGCTGATTCAGGTCAGACCATTGATCATCTTGAGAGAAAGCTTGAGAAATATGGACTTTATCCATATGAGATTTTTAAGTAGAGGAAAGATGTTATAAAAGTAATATTAAAAAGACTGACTTGGCATTGATATATACAGTTGGTCAAAGGAAAGAGACCTAGTTGAAAGGCAACCAAACAAAAGGATGTATAATTGGATGAGCTGAAGGCAAGGGGGCAGAAGGGGCTAAGAAGTCCTTGTGACAGGCTTTGTGCATGCTCAATCATAGGGGTATTAAATATAATGCCCATTCATTTTGAACTTCCAGAAATAGAAAGCTAAAGAGAGTTGTACAGTCAGTTCTAAAAAGAGGAGTAATAATATACCGTTATTCATTCTTTGTCTTATGTCGTTAACAACTGGATGTCTCTAAGAACCAGGCAAATAAACACAAATGCTGTATCCAAAGTTCACTTATTCAAAGCTCACAAAGAATAATTTGCATACTATGCATATTCTCCCAACGTAAGTTCTTCAAAACATAGATTCTTTAGATGAATATTTTATAATAATTCTGACTATTCATAAAGTGATAGCTATAATTGAGTCTCAAATGGGGATAATTTTGCAGCCGAGGGGATATTTCACAATGTCTGGAGACATGTTTGACTGTGACAACTGTAAGTGTACTGTTAGCACCTAATGTACAAAACCAGAGATGCTAATAAACATCCTATAATGCACAGGACAGCCCACCACAATGAAGTATCTAGCCCAAAATGTCATTACTGTCAAGGTTGAAAAATTCTTTTGTAATTCCACTTCAGTACTAGGTCCTTTAAAGTACTTATTACTTTGATAATTAAAATGACAATGTCTAAAATTCATTTTTTAATATCCCCTAGAACACACTTTGAACATTCTGTTTATACATTTTTTATAAATTAAATATAAAGCAAAAGGCATTAAAACATCTAAAAGTTTTTAAATCCATCACTTACATCCCAATAAACAGGAAAAAAATTCTTTTAATTTTTATATATCTACTCACAGTTTCTCTTATTTGTGCATCTAGAAGATAGTTGTAGGGACAAAATATTATGTCAGCATCTTGCATTAGCTCTCGTGCTGTGTAATATGGACATGCCTTTAGTTTTTTCCCCAAGCTGACAAGTTCTTCTATATCCCAGGCCTTGTGCATCCCTTGGAAAGTCTGTAATGTGTGTTGATCACTAATTTTATGAACACCGTGATAAAAATAGCAGGATTTTCCCTGAAAACAAATATGTACAGTTGAAACACTAGAACAGAAGAACTAAAACAAGTTTATCTCAGAATTTTTAAAACATAATTAAAGCCACAATATAAAAATTTAACAGAGGAGACAGAGTACACCAGGTGTATAATATAACCATTTTAAAGAACTACATTAGTTAACTCAGATAGCACTCCAGATCAGTACAGCTCTAGACACTCCAGATTAACTTGAGAAACATTTTTATTAAATTAATTTATCTTTAATTGAAGGATAACTGCTTTACAATATTGCGTTGGTTTCTGCCATACATCAACATGTATCAGCCAATGTATACATATGTATACATGTATACATGTCCTGAAACCTGTGTGTGTGTATGTGTGTATATATATATACACATATATATGTTTACATTAATTTTATATATCAATAAAATGTCATATATGACCTATATCTCATATATATGACACGTGTCGCACGCATGTCATATATATGACATATATGTGACGTGTGTTGTGCATATTATATATCAATATATATGACATTTATATATCAATAAAATAGCATTAATTTTATATATCAATAAAATGTCAGGACATGTACACATGTCCTGAAAAATGTATACATATGTTTATGTTAATTTTATGTATCATGTATGTTATATATCACTAATTTTACACACCAATAGAATATCCCTCGGGATGTACACCTGGGCACACATGTCCCCTCCGCCTGAGCCTCCCTCCCACCTCCCACACTTTCCCACACCTCTAGATTGTTACAGAGCCCCAGTTTGAGTTCCCTGAGTCACAAAGCGAATTCCCATTGGCTCTCTATTTTACAGATGGTAGTATATATGGAGAAACATATTTTTAAAGTATATTTGTTGTGACTCATGTTCTGATTAAAGTGATATTAGGCAAAAATATTTCTGGAAAGATCCATAACAGCAATAGTATCACTAGTTGCTTTCAAAGATGAGAGCCAAGTGACTTAGGGATAGGACTGAGAGAGGTTTTTCTCTGTCGACATTTCTGTATCTTTTCAATTTGAGCCATGAGACAGTACTGCTTAATCAAATACAAATATTAATAAAAACAAAGGAAGGAAAAAAGAATGCAAAGTGGGAAAGAGGGAAGAAGAAATGTCCCAGGGGACAAAAGTATTCATCATATAAAACTGGAAAATACAAGCATACCAAAATCTATAAATTACCTAAAACCCCATTATATAAAGAATGTACTATTAATATTTTGATGTATCTCATTTCAGATTTCTTCTCTATATATCAATATATCTCTGTAATGCGAACCAATATTAAAATGAGAACAAATCAAATTTTCCCCAGGTGCATGCACTGAGGATTACTAACAATCTAGTCACTAAGTAGTTTTTACAAAACTGGTACTGCCTTTTTTCTCATAGCCTATTTTATTGAAAATCTTATCAAATATATCTTCTTATATCACTAAGTCTTTTTTCATTGTTGCTTACATATATTGGATTAATGTGCCACATCTGATGAACCAGTTGATCACTGGACATTTAGACTGGTTTCAATTTCTGCTTTATAAATAATGCTGCAATAAGCAGTTTTATGCCCATTTCTAAATATTTTCTTATCATACATTTTTAGAAATGGCATTATGAGACCAGAGTATATTTTTAAGTTTCTTGAAAACCATATCGTCAAATTATCCTCCAGAAAATGTTTATGAACATTTTATATTACCTTTTTCCACATCTTTATCAACGTTATCTTTTTTTATTTTTGCCTATTTTAAAGGCAAAAACCGAATCTTCTTTCAGGTACTATCTACTAATGTCCTTTGCCATTCTATTATTGGAAGTAAAAAAATTTTATTAACATATATACACTAATCAAAAAATAAGATGTTTGATAAAATGCAGTCCTGGCAAAGGCACCATATCCTATTAAAAGGTGTACAAAATTAGAAGTATAAACTTCTAATAGAAGTACAAAGGAAATTTAACTACCAAATAAAATTTCACCATTAATGTAATTATATATATAGTGCACTGTTTAACAGCTCCCACCAAATTGGAAAGACTCTAAATATCTACCAACAGGGGATATGTTAAATAAATTCTGACAAATTCATATAAACGTTGTGTGCAATGCTTAGTCTCTCAGTCGTGTTCGACTTTGCAACCCCACCCATAGACTATAGAGCACCAGGCTCCTCTGTCCATGGGGATTCTCCAAGCAAGAATACTGGAGTGGGTTGCCATGCTCTCCTCCAGAGGATCTTCCCAACCCAGGGATTGAACCCAAGTATGGTCCTTAAAAAATGAGGCTGATTTGCCTTTGTGCTGATTTTTAAGCTTTAAAAATAATTAATACACATACATTATACAAAACACATACTATAAATGTTTTTGAAGAATATACATAAAACTTTACAGTAGGTGCCTTAAAGGGATGGAAAGAACTAAAAAGAGAGATCTTCTCCTTTCATTTAATACCTTTCCATAATTTTGAGTCTCTAACCATGTATGTTAGTTTTCTTTTTCAATTGCCATTTGGTACTAGGTGGTGAAATAATGGGCCATTTTAATTTTCATTAATTTTATATATCAATAAAAAATTTAATGTGATTTTGAAAACTAATATTTATCTTTCCCAGTTAGCTATCCTTAACCATTGGGGAGATATATGTGCGTGTGTGTGTGTATTTTTATCTACAAACTATCAAAAATGAAAATCTGTTTTTAAAATATTCATACATTATTACATATACAAAAATATCTAGACACTGCTAGAAATGGAGTAACTTATTTATAACTTACAAAAGAATGTCTGCAAATTCAAGGACAAGGCGTGATCAGCTGAGGACTGCTAATTCAGCCATACCACTTATTGTTCCTCCAAGGTATTAAAAATAAGAATTAGAAAGGGCTCACCTGTGTTTACTTGCTTCAATTTTGTATTATTTTCACTTACTTTATCTAATCTCTAATTCGTTTTAATCCTTCATGCCATATCAACTTCCCTATACCATATGCCACCGTTTGTTTTTGTTTCTAATGCAGTGAAAACTCTAACGGTTAAGAGAAAACTTGCTTCTTCCTTTGTCACTGAGCAGACTTTAGGGCCCATCTTTCTCATGTGACTGGGCATCAAGAGTAGCTGAACTAGAAGCCTTTTAAGAGTTCTCCGACCACTGACTGCCATTTCTAAAGTTCCTTCTAGCTCTAAAATTCTATGATTTGGGATCTAGAGACAGTTGGAAATATGTCAAGTATCTTTCATACTGACTTTGATATCAGATTGAGCTTAATAATGACACACCTTTTCTTCATTCCAAGTACCTTTCATACTATTCTGAAAGTTTTTATTTGTATTGATAACAAATTGATCACTAAGGTGTCTTCAAGTCTATGGTTATAGACTGTTAAATCTCATCTTAATAAAAAAAAAGATATTCTTCTACACCTAAAATAATTTTTTAGAATGATTTCTAGAGCTAGTTAAGATGATTTTTTCTTAATTGAAACAAAATTTGACTTTTAGCAGATACGTACATTGCTTTTCCAGTATAGGAATATAAAAGAAACAGTGAACAAAAACACATGTGCCTTTGGATCAAGCCAAAAAATCAGAAAGTTTACACTTTAAGGGCACTTAGAATGACACTGCTGTGCAGGCTGATAGCAAAACCAGAAAAGCTCATCCATTTTAGCAGTGTAATATAACCCAGAGGGGAGTCTGTCAATTGAAGTGTTATCACACTCAACTCTTTTTCACTTAAACTGTCAGTTATCTATTTATCATTTCTCTTTGGTAATTCAGCCATAGTAAACACAGACACCTTTAGTGACTTTGTAATTGCCCCTCATTACAATACCAAATTACCCTCATGGCTTGGGAACAAGAAACAGAATGTTCATGTATGCCTTATGAGCTAGCCATTCTGAGGCAGAATTAGGTCAAGACAAATGCAGATATCTTCAATTACTTATATCGTTAATATTCAAAAATAAAAGGTTTGTTTACTTTAAAACAGAACCTGAAGGCCAGTGAAATGTTCTGAATATTCAAGTCTATGTGATTTTTATTTTTACAAGATTCAAACTTGGAAGAGTAAAGATCAATCAAAAAACATAACCAACACTGCAGGATTCTAAAAGATTACTTAAAATATTTGCTTTCAATGCATAATCGCATGATACGTTTCTCAATAACAAGTAGCAAAAGATAATGACAACACCAGCAAAACTTCCTACACAGACTAAAAACAAATTTCAAGCATTTGAGGAATTTAGTAGATCTTTTAGCCACATATGGAAAGAAATCTACTTAAGTATAAAATTTATGGGTTTTTATCATGAAGAGCCTTTTCTCTATTTTATTATTTTTTTAACATTCAGCTTTTTAATATTTTTATCTCTCTTTGAAGAGAACTTTTTAAATATACAGTGAAAAAGGTTGCACAATTCCTCAGTTAAAAAGAATATATATGGAAACAAATATGATCATATAATTTTAACAATGGTTTTGATTCAGTTATTCTGTATTTTCTTCTTGATTCTAAAAAAGTCACTTAAGTTTTTCCACTGAAGCCCTTTAGTACTTATATTTCATACTATCGAGTTTGAGTATCTATTGAGGCTTCTTTTGAATAATCCCAATAAAGGTTGAATAAATTTCACATAATAGTAGGAAGCACTGAAAAAGAAAAACGTAATACAAAATAATCTATTCATATTATACATTAGGAGATGATATACAGTTAAATGAAACTAGAGTCTAAGAGGCTATAGCTAACTCTTAGACTTTTGTGTAGAACCAACTATGTTTGACAAAATACAGAAAGACAGAACTTTCAAAATATATTAAAATATCATTGGTCATTTCATATACTATCAATTCATCAATAATTTCTGGGTATAATTCCAGACTTGTAACTTCAATTTTAGAGTAAACTAGTTATCTAACTGGTACACAGACAACTAAACTAATACTGACAAAATATTATCAAAAAATCATGACTTTAGTGAGATTTCTTTATTTCCACCTAGTCAAAATTCATATTATTCTAATTTCCCCAGAAAATTTCAAAGCCATAAATAACATATCTTTAGTTAATAATTTACTGTAATTTTTAAAAGAAGTTTATACTAATCAGAATTATGAGACAGTACAGTCATTACGTTTCTCAATTAAAAAACATTTTAAAATTTGCCCAGAGAGGTCCTATGTAAATTACCTTCTTCTGATATTTCTAAATATGTAAAATATATCAATTAGATCTAGTTAGGATAAATCACTTAAATGTTTTGTACTCCTCATTTGACCTCCATGTTTGACTGTTTTTAAAAGAAGAAATTAAGACATGGAAATTAATTTTCAAGGAATTAAATAAATATCCCCCAAAAATAAATAAATAAATATCCCCACATTTTAGGATAAAAACTCATAATTTTAAACTTGAATAAAACATTTTCTTATGGTAAAATTACTTTCAAAAAAATATCAACACTAGCAATCGATCTGACTTGTTATTACTGTAAATGTACATATAAAAATGAACACATTAGAGCAATTTTTATCTTTTCAGCCTAATATTTTGCCTAAAATAAATGAACTTTACTCACATTTTTCCCATCCAGCAATTCCATGCATTTTTCATTTCTGTTGAAGTTACCTATTACTTCCGGATGGACACAAGTATGATCCCTGCTGGAAAGAATAGTCATCGGGACCCCTGAGTACGCTGTTCTCTGGAGCTCTCTAGTAATCTGAGCAATCTGCTTGTGTGTGCGTGTCCCAAAGTATATTTTGGGTATCTTGGACTTCCCCCCATGATCCTTCTTAGTGGTATTTGAAGAATCTTCACTGTTTCCTTGTTTAGTAGAACAGCACCCACAACAGTGACCAGGGGGCTGTAACAAAGGAAAGAAAAGATAACTAATGTCTGGTCTACCATGAAATTTTTATCAAACTTTTCATGGAATCAAAACTATAAGTAGTGAATCACAATTGCCAAATAAAGGGAAATTCCATAATGTCACATCATCTAAAATTTGCCTTTAAAGAAAAAACTACAGATTCAATTTCAAATTGGTTCTCTTTCACTCAAGTTACAAATGTTTCCATATTTGCATTGTTTTCTAACATACTACTCCAACTCTCAAATTCCAAATGTTCTAAGTACATTTTAATTCTCCTCTTTCCTAAGTTATAAAACTAAAAAATAATGAAAGACAATTTTCATTCTTGCTTAGGCTTCAAGTGAACTGTGATATTACAGTTTAGATTTAAGAGTGCTATTTTCTTCACAGCAATATCCTATAATAAACCAGTATTTTAAAAAGTATTTTAATCATAACTTACAAAAGAATAGAAACATCAAGTTGAATCTAAATCATCACTCAAAAACCATGAGAAAACTATTTGCTAGCAAAGGTATGAAAATGAAATCAAATTATTAATACTTAATAATGAAGACAGGTTGCTTGTGTGGAACAAGTATATCTGAAATTCAATTACCGGTCATGGAATATAAATCCATCAGTACAATTATCATTCAAGATAGCTTTTCCTAGACAATTTTACTCAATTCAGTTTCATAATTAAAAGTTATATAAATGGCTCCTTAAATATACCATATGGAACATCAGGAGTACAGTATATTTACCTGACTTTTCTCTAGTTCCAAACTCAAAAATTTTTTTTAAAAAAAGCTTAGTGCTATATATTAGAACACACTGGTTCTTAACAACTACTCTCTTCTCAACCTCAGTTACTATACAAATGAGACAGAATGCAGCCTCCTTTAAGAGAAAGATTAAGAAATGGTTAGTTTATAGGAAGGGTCACTGATAGGGAAAAATACTAAATAGCACAGTAGCTTAAGAGAACTTGTACCAGAGAGTTTAAGTTTAATAGAACAAACACTCCATTTAACTGCAGGGTTTTTTTTTTAATTATAATCAGTAAGATTAGCCTTCATAAACAAATGCTAAGTCATAGCATGTTACACCACAATACTGGGGATCAAGCTGTCTTTTAGCCTCAACTCAGTGGAAAAGCAAGTTCGAATTACTCCCAGTCTCGCTCAACCTTGTCCGCCATTAAATATTACAATACATGATAGAATGGATGTAAATGTGACCCTTCTGGAGCTGTCACTCACTGGGATAAAAGGTTCACTGATGTGCCAAATAAACAGTCAGTCAAAGCAGATAAAGTTACAGCCATGCTGGAATTGTTACATTCCCCTCTCAGGTTGCCAGTAACAGCAGATTTCATTACAGAGTGCTGCCACATTAAATAGCCAGTTCCAAATATCCTGCCTTCTATATTGAATAATTACTTATTCACTGAAAGGATAAAAAGAAGAGTTATGAATGGGGCTCTTGTCAACAGTGAGGCAGGAAACAGCTGACATGTGGTTTATGTTACATATGTTGCAATATCTAACAATTTCTGGTCACACAGAAAATGGAATGCAAATTTTATCATGGTATTTCTGACTGAATTCCTTTTAGTCTTTTTCAATGATCAAATTAATTAACTTAGTAAAAGAATTAAAGGAACTCTTGGTAGCAGAATTAGTTTATTTTCATATTTTCAAACTTTTTACTCAATTATATCTTTTCCCTATGATAGTTAAATTTATTGTGAATATTAGAATGCTAGGGCCCAATGCACTATGATATTCTCTATTGGATATATACAAGCCTAAAAGTAATTCAATAAAGTAGTCTTTTTCCCATGGCTTGGAAAACCTACTTTTTGATATGATACTTTTCAATGTATTCCACTTAAAGCTTTAGGATCTACTCCTTTTATTTTCATTCTGCTATTTTTTTACACAAAAAATTCAAATTGCTATAGAAAAATACAAAATAAGTCAACCACCACATATAACTAGCAGATCCTCCTACATGTAACTATATCTTTCATATTTTTCCAATAAAAAAAGGATGCTATTATACAGTCTTATAACTTTCTGCTTTGCATGCAAATGTTTTAATTTTAAAAGCAGTATTTGCACTAATATTTTAAAGGGATCTGCTTATCTTAAAATGTTATACTAACAGCATAACTAACAAAAGCAAAAGATACAGGACTTGTTTTAGAAAGTTCTCACTAGAGTAGCTTTATTATGTACCTTAAATGTTTTCTCATTCCATAATTGAAAAAAAATTATAAAACACAACTAATCTTTATATTAAAAATGTTTTATGTTTGTTAAGTCTTCCAGGGTTCTGAATTATACAATTTATGAAATCAAAGGTAACTCCTCAAGATGATGGTTTTCAGTTAGTGGCTGGGCAAGTAGAGTAGAAGACAGAAACTAAGAAAGTTGATTCTTATTTATTTGCAGTATTAAAGAGGAATTACTTCTTCAGAAGTGATCTTCTATTGAATTTAAAGGATTTGGTATAATCATAGTTGAAGATGGAAAACGCTGAACACAACAATAGAACAGAGGCTTAAAAAAAAACACAATGATTTAGGAACAAAAGAGAATTATTTGTACCAAAATCAGTAACTTTCAATTTTGTATGACAACAGAGAAAGAATCCTGAAAACAGCAATGATAAGAACTCATAAAATCCTCTAGTTCAAAATTAGGCTAATATTTTCTAGCCTCTCTCTGAAACTCTTTGACCTAGGATCTTAAAACAACAGGTGAATAAAATCAAGTATTTTTCACCAAGCAATTCTCCTGCTGACAAATGATCAAGTTTACTTCCCACAGGGATATTTTCCTTTTGTTTTTGCTCTTTAAATTTATATAGATTGTATCAGGAAACTGGAGAATAAATTAAAAAGTATTCTTTCTCATCTAATATACCTAAATGTCAAGTAAGATAAAACACATAGGCTCCCCAAATCTGGAATCTCTAAGAACTGTAGCAACATCATATGGTAGAACTAATCTCTTTAATAGATGGCTTCTTTTCCCATAGCTGGAAACTGTCTAGAGTTCCTTTTCTTTAACAAAAGGCAAGAGAACTTAACCCAAATAACAGCCCCCAAAAAATCTACTATCATAAGAGATGTGGATGTGACAGCTGTATTAGTTCCATATGTAGGAGTCAACTGTTTAAAAATACATTTCAAATCTACAATAGCCAAAAACTGTTCTTAGGAGCAACCAGGGATTTTAGAAAATTATCTTTGTGTCCAACAATTTCTATTTATTCCCTCCCTTGTCAGACTATACAGATATGCATTAATGTTTCTGAAAGGAGAGAGAGTGAATATAATCTTTGACCTTGAAAGGGCAACTTCTGAGTCGTCGCCACTGTCCCTTTCACAAGGTTACAATCACAAGTGCGGGCAGATTAAGATAACCATGTCGACCTCTAAAGTTCCATAGCTCTCGCCAAACTTTCCCCTGAACAACAATGAAAATTATTAGCTAAAATTACTATATTTACTTAGAAAAATAAAAATTAGCAAGGTGGCTAAATATGCCTAAAAAAGGATAATAATGAAGGAGTAGTTAGAAATGACTGCATTGTCAGAGAAGTTATTTTGTGAATTCATAAATCAGGGGAGTATCTAAACAGAATCTATGAACTGAATTCTACAAGTAAGCGTAAAAGGATATTTAATATGAAAAATAAGCACATAAAGAAGTAGAGAAGGGAAAAAGACCAGAAATAAGCTTATCTCCATGAAATAAAGAGAAAACTAGGTCCATGAAACAGTAACATACTTTTCCATATGTGCATGCATTGTCTTTCAGCCACACTGCAAATTCCTGAGGACAGAAACTATGTCTTAAGTTACTTCATATACTCATTCATTGAGCATGGTATTTTGCATATAACTGTAACTTAATTTTTTTAATTGATGGATTGTGACTAATGTCCCTAAACCAAATATTGTACCCATGTACCACATTTTATTTATCTGTCGATGTTTAATTGACACCCAAATTTTACTTCTTCACATATCAAAAAGTTACCTCAAAATAAAAAGGTTAGCTTTTAAAAAAAAGTACAGAACAATTTGTTATCTTTCAAGAACAAAAAGAAAAGTCATCTTGTTATGTTAATATCTGGGCCACTTTAGTTGTGAGTGGCAAACACATATCCTGATATATTCATTTGATAACTATCATTTATTAAGGCTGTCCCTGTGCTAAAGCACTCTACTTGTACTATCTCATTCATTCATCTATCCATTCATCCATTCATTCATTCAAGAAACATTAGAATTCCTGACATATTAAGCCAAATAGAAGACAATGACAAAGATCATTTCATTCCACCAACAAAGAGATCTTCACTTTTTAATTGTTCTACAAGGTATGTTATAGGAGATTATCAATACCAGTTTCACTTATTACTCTAAGTGCATTATTTTCTGAATGCAACTACAAAATATTCTTAAGGATAAGCTATAAAATTTACTTCATAAAAACCATTTTAATTTATTATTAGTTGACATTTAAGTCACACATTTTCTAACAAGATGGACATTATGTTCCACAAGGGGGAAAAACAAACATTCTTCAGTTGAGAGACTCTTTAGAGCAAGCATCACACTTTTTCTACAAAGGACCAGAGAGGAAATATTCTAGGTTGTATGGGTCATAAAATCTCTGTCCCTATATACAGAAAAATATCTTTATGACCTTAATATAGGGAAGGATTTCTTAAACAATACACCAAAAGCACAAGTGACTGAAAACAATCTTGAGAAGATACATATGCTGTATATAACCGAGGATCAGTCTTCATAACACACAAAGAATTCCAACAAACCAATTTTTAAAAAACCCAATAGAAGAATAAGAATCCAAGAACAAGAAGTCAAAGGAGAGAAAAGCAGAAAACCCAACAAACATCTGAAAAGATGTGCAGCCTGTGCAACCTGATGTTCAAGCTCATCAGAAAGAAAGTTGTGTCCAACTCTT